TGAGAAATACAAAACAAATTTGGGTTATCATAAGATGCATAGACACTGCTCACTAAAAAAGCTAATGTATAGGCCAACTACTAATGGTGCGGCTCCCCTCCACTCATCCTATAGCAATCTAATTAAAGACGAAGAGAGCATCTGTCTCTCTGGAAAGGCTCTGCCATTCGTTGCTCAACTGAATTCTTTAATGTGGATGTCTTGACTTCTGTAGGTCCTTCAGCATCCAGAACTGATCCACCTCAGCTATCCTCATTCTGTGATTGAGTAGCTACTGCCATCAACAGATGAAAAACAACAAAAGCCTCAGGCCTGATGTATAAAGCAGGAGGACCTCTGTTTGCAACTGTGTCTACTCTCTCCTGGAGAATATAACCGGAGAAAATCCCCAAGATCTTAAAGGCACTTGCTCCATCGTCAATATTTATAAGAACAAAAGAGACCAGTCAGACTGTAAGCAGCCACCATGGGATCACGGTACTGTCCATAGCTGGCAAGATTATCTTGAGTCCTCCTACACAGACTTCTTCCTGAGGCGGAAAACTTTTTCCTCCGTCTCAATGTGGCTTTAAGTATCAAGTGGCACTACTGAAATAGTCATCACTGTCGTCAGACAGAGAAATGAAAGAAACAGCGTCACACTTGTACATGGCCTTCATCAGCACACTGGGCGCCAACTGAGTCAACAGGGAGGCCCTTTGGCAACCCTCAGTTGTTTTGGTTGCTCACCATAGTGAGGCATCTCTAAGATAGCATGAATGGCAGTGTCCTGCACAATGGTACCCAGTCTGAGATCTTCCCCATCTAAACAGAATTAAAACAAGGACGATGTGCAGCACCAGTGTCAATTTAGCCGGCCGGGGTGGACATCGATGCCAGATGAAGGGGGGTGGAAGTCTTTTCAACACAAGACAACTCCAGGGAGGGAACAAAGGTGTCGCTTCCTTCAATCACTGAACTTCAGCATGCAGACGACCTCCCGCCTGCCGCTCACACTGGACAGGGCCTACTGTACAGGAGATCTGATGAACACCTACACAGATGCATATACACACTTCGGCCTTGAGGTGAATGTATAGAAAGAGCTCAAGTTCTCTTGGCTGCCCCTGGATTCATACAACTCCACCATCCATCAACAATGGTACTATCCTCTCTAAATGTTACCCACTTACAGTATCTTGGCTCCCACCTGTCCACCACATTGATGAAGGGTTAACATGGATCAATGTGCATCTGACACTAGTAGACTCACCTGTTAATATTCCCAGCTGGCAAAAGGCTGAAATTATCTAAGTATGCATATATCAATCAACGATCCTCCCACCCTGCCGTATGGCAGAGACAATCTACATTCCAACATCTGGGTTAAGCTGGGAAGACAAAGAGGGGAATGAGGTGACACAGAGATTGAGGAAGCGGCTGCTTTGCCACAACATCAAACACATATTTCCCTCACTCCCCACGTGCCAAGAACCCAGCAAAACTGTGTTCGGCCCAACATGGAATGAGAAACAGCCACTGTAAGTAGCTATAACCAAGGGATGGGTGGTAGAGACATAAGCCAAGGCCTGGAAGCACTACAACAATAGCTAATAATTAGCAAAATTACCGAGGTTGGGTGAAATAATCTCGAGTCCAAATAAAATACCTGAAGCCTCTGCCGTAGCAGAGGCACAATCCCAACATAAGTCGAAAATCAAGATAAGGACACTCAAGTAGTGCTGTCCTCTAGAGGTGTTTATAGACTATATTAATTCACACTTTGCCTGTCTATCATATAAGATAGGCAGTTGCCGTGTTCCTTATCTCTAGTTAACTGAGGTGCCATAGTGCAGGCACCCATCTGGTAGCCCTTTGGACATTTTCAATCAACTAGCCTCTTGCATATCTCAGGGACCAGAAGGGTGACAGTAGTCCACAAGGAGAGCACCTCACTTTTTAAAGTGTGTTATGAAGGACGGACCATCAGTCATCAGAACTTACCAACAGTGTGTAACAGGTTGGCTAACCAACCAAATGACTGACAAACCCGATGGTGGAGAAGAGGAGAAAAATTACAGTACGGTAAGACTTACTAGCTTAGTCACTCCACCTTCTTCTCACAATGGTCCGAGAACACAGTTTATTGTCGACATACACACCCAGGCACTTTCACATTTGGTCTCCATTAATACTTTGTTTCTTTGTTCAGTTGGGACATGTGATATGCTGCCTCCTTACTGTTAGTAAGTTATCTTGCATTTGGTAACGTTGAATCTTAACAGCCATTCATGGAGCCACAGATGAAGCCGTATGAATCTTTCTGCTTTAGCTCTGCACAATGTTCAGTTCTTATTTCTGAATAACTCATCGTCATAAACATTTATATGGAGGTTTATAGATTATGGCAGGTCACTTATGAAACAAGCAAGGGTAAGCATGACAATTTATTCCATTGTCTGCCATACACTGGTTGTGGTCGAAAGTCTCGGTTTAATTTTCAACCTTTCATGGGCCACTCTATATAATAAGCCTTGGCAAAGTACTAATATGCTCCAAGTATTTGAGAGTTTGCATTAAGTCACCTTGCCTGCCTATAATCCAGCTGCAGGTGTTTTTAATATCCTCTGGGTACCACAGTGCAGGCACCAGTCGTGGCCCTCCTCTGGACAGTTTCAGTCAGCTGATCTCTAACACATAAGGGGACCAGGGTGGAAGAAGCGCCCTCTCAGAGCATTATGAAGGACGAGCCGTCTAGTTCAGAACTTCAGCTTATCAACACACGTCCTTGTCACTACTTGGTCTTGGTTCTTGTCAGGGCGGGAGGTTGTACTGGGGATGGGTGTTACTGGTTATATTACGGCTGCATTCCTATGATCTCTTCTCTGTAGGATCGATGTCTGCCACAGATAGTGTCACATAATGGGTAACACAAACATCAGTACTGACCAGTATCCAAATCTCTCTATTCTGTTGGCAATATTTTTATTCATCAATACTGTGGTTAGAAAATTGCTGACACCTTGATGGCTTTTAGTTCTGGGTTATCCTTCTAGTGGATCAATTTTCTAACATGCCTTAGGACCAAAGTCCACTATTGCAGGAAATTAAAACCTTTACAATTTCATCCTTATTGTACTAACTTTCAAACAGAATTGGAAAAGTAATTTTTTATCAACCTTAGGAAAATAACTTGTAAAAATGTTCAAGTCTTTACTAATTAATTATTCCATTGAATCTCTGAGTTCATCTTCATCAGGTACTTGTTACCTTAAAGCAGATTGAGGCGTTTTTTAGAAAAGGGACTTTCCCGGCTCTCATTCCTACCATCCCAAGTGTCATGCCTTCATCCTGGGATACATTACTCCATTAAGGATGTGTGTGCTTTTGGCTTTCCAGTTCCCCCAAACTTAACTATCAGCCATAATTAAGATTTTTCCAGATAAGTCTTAATTCAGCAAAACATCAAATTATAATTTGTCAGGCAGATTAGGTTTCCATCTGAGTTGGGGTTCCTCAAATAGGTTTTGGATGATCCAAACCCAAGATAAAAAGCTGACATAGGCAGGGGCCGGCTGACCTCCCTGGGGCACCCCAACTGCCCTGCTACCTAACCAATGTTCCTTATAATAATACTACTGTGTGTCCACCATCAAAAAAGCTTTCATAAACAATATTGAATTGCAACACTAAGCCTCCAGCACATTACCAAGGCCACAAGGATGTTAGTTTTTCTTATGAAGATTAAATAATACTGTACATAGATATATGGCGAGGTATTTGTTTTAATATTGTTTTAATTTGATTCCGTAGTAATATTTACTATTGCTACTTTCCTTCTGTTCTATGTAAACTAAACACAAGGCTTCCTTACACACTGCACAAAACCTGATGAGCCTGTAAAACACACTAGTGAAGGGGACTGTTACATTTACCAACACCTATTCGATGAATTTAAAGAGACTAGATAAGGACACCATTAACAAAATTATTGGTTTATTCATACAAATATTAGCAAGACTTAAAACATTACAGGACATATTTATATACTGTACAGCAATGGAGATATTTGTAGTGGTAACAAAAGTGAGGTGGTGTAAGGGTGGTCATATGCCAAAGACAAAAATACACTATTACTTCTAACTTCTTTCAATGAATCAGCTCAAAAAAAAATTTAGAAATGCTGTATTGTTATGTGAATGAAAACAGACTGAATTTTGTATTAGCCAGCATTCAAATTAGTTTCTCAATGCCATTAAAAGGAACAAAGTATTATTTGTAACTCAGTGACAAATTAATAATCAGTTTCATTAAGTAAAACCCTTATGACTTTCAGGGGCAGAGAAATTTAAGGCAAGTTATTGTATAAAATGTTAGAAATCCACCTGGGAGAAAAAATAAAAAAACAATATTGCTTTTACAATGTAAATCACTACAGCATAATAAAAAACAGTAGAAATAAAAACTAACTGCAGTACACCTCCCAGCCAAGACTCGGCTGAACCTCAAATTAGGCAGAAGATCCAACTAGGCAGGTTGAACTCTTTTTGTCTTGTTAACTGGTGTGTAGTAGTTACTAATGGCCAACCAGCTCAGACAACTAGGGTGTTAATAGAACCAATGTAAACACAAGCACATCATCCTTGTGGGCTGGTCTCATCTGCACCTCCCCAGAAGTCCCAGCCTGGTGGATGGTGATGAACAAGAGCCATCAACACATCAGCGGCCTGGTGGATGGTGATGAACAAGAGCCATCAACACACCAGCCTGGTGATGAACAGGAAGCCATCAACACATTAGCCTGGTGGATGGTGATGGACAAGAGCCATCAGCCTGGTGCAGTGAGTTTTTGGGGAAGGTGACTCTAGGAAGAAGTCTCCTGAGGGTGCTAGATGATTGAGGAAGGAAGAAGGCCGTTGAAGATGTTGCTGGTTGATGAACTTCACCCTCTAGAAGGAAGGCCCGTTGAAGATGTTGCTGGTTGATGAACTTCACCCTCTAGAAATAATGATGCGTGATGTTCTTGGAGACAGGACAGTGAAGAGACAGGAACCAATGCCTCCTTCATGGGTGCAGGATCGAGGTGGCGAGGTTTCTGTCGGATAAGATCTGTATTAGAAATGTAATTACGAGTTAAGCAGTACACCCGTCGAGTTAATATAGGATGAAAGGTTACATCATTATTGGTATAAATGTGACAGATGGTCGAGTTACACTGGAAATTTTGAGCTACATCTACTTCAGGTTTCACAGTTAAGGACCAGGAGAAACTACTGTCACAAGATCATAGTCAGGATCCAGTTGACAAAGCTTTCATCAAGTTAGGATGGATTAAATGATTATGTCCACTCAGTAGCCAACAGTGTAAGGTTCTTGAAACTGATGTGAAAGAGGTGATCAGGATTTAATTTAATTTAAGATTAAAGTTTCAATAATTTAGTTTTGAAAATTATAGTTAAAAGTTTGGTTCCGAGATCGGGAATCGGTTACGCGGAGTTAGTTTACCACAGATGTGACTCACTGATCTCCACCGTTGTGCGATACTTTTACAGCTAAATACCCAGTAACCCCAAAGAAAGTTGAACTGTCAAGTGGGTAGAGATAACTAACACAGCCTTCGATACTGTCAACTATACCATCCTCCTTTCAAAGCTGTCATTTACAGCATTAGGGGCCTGTTCCACAATTCGTTTACCTCATATCTGTCCAACAGGATGCAGTATGTCTGCAATAATAATCACCAATCTGACTCCTCCCAATCTTGTATGGAGTCCCCTTGTTCCATTCTCGGTCCAGTACTTTTTGTTGTGCATAAACGACCTAGTCCATAGCTCACCATAAAATACATCTTATTTGCAGACAATAGTAACTTGCCAGCAACTCAGACCACCATTCCTTGATGAGAACTATGAACACTGAATTAACTAAAGTCAGGACCTGGGAAATACGTAATAAACTGACCTTAAACCTTGAGAAAACCAATACACGATCTTTTACATTAAGAAAAACATACCCTGACTTGGACCCTTTACTTAATACAGTTCTCAAACACTTAACAAAATACTAAATTCGCAGAGTTATTGTTGATGAGAAACTTAACTGGAGAAACCATATACAAGCCAATCACATTAAAGTCAATAAACAGTGCGGTATCATGTATCACACTCGACAGTCACTCGCCTCTCAGCAATGAAAAATCTATCATGATCTTGTTTACTAACACCTGATACACTGTCACACACACTACAGGGGGCCTCTGGCTCTTCAAAAACACAATCTCTTGGTTACTAGCACAAAAGAGAGTTGTACAGACAATGACCTACTTGAAAAACAGATCATGCAAATGAAAAACTTGCTATATTGAAAATTAAAAATTTGAAGATATTAACACCTACTGCTGCACCCTCTTGTTTACTAATCTACCAATCACTTGCTTGACAATAATTATTTCCAGTTCCGAATAATCAGAGATACAACTTAAGGCAACCAGAGCTACTAAGACCACCCCCAGGCTCCTCTCAGTCCCAGACCTCCATAAATATCACGCTAGAAGGTGTGGAACAACTTACCCCCACCCATCCCAGCAAAGACTACGGCCCTTCCTTTAAACCATCTCTTAAAATATCTATTGAGTAAGTATTAACTTTTCTTGTAACACCTACTATATTTACAGTACCTGCTATTATTGTACCATCAAAACCGTTTTGTAGGAAATTATCATGTAAATAGATAAGTAATTACCATTGCAATAAACATAATGCTAACTAGACATAATCCTGACAGCTCTGTCCTCTTGTTCAATTATTACTGTACAACCCATGCTCTTCTCCTTATACTTATGTATTTTCAATTCCACTGTAATTTA